AAATTGTACTATTTTTTATAGTTGCATGCTGTTGTTGACATTCAGTAGCCCAACACAATTAATATAAAAACTGTAGTGTTGTAACCAGGGTCCGAAATTAACACTCGCCACTCGCCAAATGCGAGCAAATTGCTCCATTTGGCGAGTAAATTTTTGAGCTCTACCTGCCACCTGGCGAGTAAATGTTTGCACCAAATTAGTTATGTTTATCAGTCATCTTCCATGGATTTCTGATACTCCTCCCGCCTGCATACAACGTACATAAACGTACGCGAAACGTGAATGCCGCATCCAACGTCATTTCCACCTATCCCATTCAATCAGTTTATCAAGTTAGCAGTTAGCTTCGTATTAAAACTAGCGGTGATATGCGGGTTTTAACTGGAGTCAGCCAGCCTTCCAAAAGAAAACTCGTCGAACTGGAAGAAAAACCACCAGGACCAGTGGCAACCAGAAGATTTTGTGAAAAGTGGCGAACTGGAGATGGCGGAGTCATGAGACAATGGCTACATTATGATGGCCACGTAGCGCTGCTGCCTTTCACAGACAACTGTCCCTCGGCATTCTTCAAATATCCAAAAAATGCCCATACTTCCGACTTTGTCTTCTTTGAGGGATAATAAATGTCCCGAGTGCTGCCGTCTCCTCCTGCCATTAATTCAGCTTTAGCTTAAAGAACGTTTTGGTCGTAAACAACAAAGTGCGCATGTGCCGCCGGCAACTTCAGATGATACGGTGGCTGGTAAGGGTCACCGTGCCTACACCGCAGCCACGGTAATCCACCGAGATAATTTTTTTTTAAACAAGACGGTTATTATTATTGTCAACTTCTTTACCGGGGTTTACCGCTACACCGGTTACCGTGACAACCCTAGCCCTGACACACTTTCAGATATTCTCATGGTGCAGCTGTGTTCTCCAGAGATCAAGGACTATGACCCAAATGAGGCTGTAATGCTTTGGCACAAAGACAGTGTCAGAAGCAGGAGGCCAGACTTCATGGACAGAGAAAACAAGGAGTCTGACTAGACTTCAATGAAAGAGTTCATAAAAACATCTCTAAAAATAAATAAATAAATAGTAAAAATGACAAAAGTGTTGTTTTTCTTATTAATTGGTGTTTTAATTATGTTGTCACTCTGTTTGGAATCAACATAATATAGAATAACATGCTTTAGGTGGATCTAAATCATTTAGAATTTTGGCCGGTAAAAAATATGCTTGGCCGGTAGATTTTCATCATCTACCAGCCAACTTGGCCGGTGAGTAAAAAATTTAATTTCGGACCCTGGGTGTAACACATATTCCTGCATGTGAACTTTATTACAAATGCAGTTTAGCTCTGTTTATTTTTGCAAACTTGACAGGGTGTGATTTTATAGATTTTGGTTTTACAATACTACCAATGAGCTTGGTCAGTGTGTGAGAAAATCACATTAACAAGCATTTCATATTAGTCCCTTAATGATTGTACTCATGGCAGAATAGGACTTTTTCACACTTCTCCTGTTTGTTTTCACCAGGAAGTGATAACAATGGGAGGAAACCTTCTGGAAATTGCAGCAGCAGGATTTGAGTTGCTGAAATAGAAATAAAAAAATAAAATAAAACACAAATATGTAATGCAACTCAGTTTTCTAAACAATTGTTACAACCCCGACATGTGCTGTTAAAATGTGAAGGAGGGGTCCATCCATCCATCCATTGTCTGACCCCGCTTTGTCCACGTAGGGTCGTGGGGGGACTGGTGCCTATCTCCAGCAGTCAATGGGCAGTCAGGCGGGGTGCACCCTGGACAGAGAGCCAGTCCATCGCAAGGCAACACAGAGACACACAGGACAAACAATCATGCACACACACACACACACACACATACACACACCTAAGGACAATTTGGACAGACCAATCAACCTAACAGTCATGTTTCTGGGCTGTGGGAGGAAGCCGGAGCACCCGGAGAGAACACACGTATGCACAGGGAGAACATGCAAACTCCATGCAGAAAGATCCCAGGCTGGGAAATGAACCCAGGACCTTCTTGCTACAAGGCAACAGCTCTAACCACTGCGCCACTGCACAGCCTGTGAAGGAGGGGTAACATAAGAAACATGACACTAGATTTAAAAATGGGTTTAATTGTCAAAAGGTTTAAAAACAAGCGTGCAAACAGATACTAATGCTAACGGTTAGCTTCTACTAGCTGACATGATGAAGCGGTTTGCAATTTTGTCTTGACTTTAATTGGTTAGCAATTGTTGTCATCTGTTTTTATGCCATTTTCATTCTGCTTTTATTTATATATTTTTGATCTCTTGTTGTTTTTAATGGTGCAATTGCCTGTTTATTGTTGTGTTCAGCACATTGGGCTTCTGCTAAAGGTTGTGGAAGGTGCTCTATAAATTAATAAATGAACAAATGAATGAATGTTCCCTGCTGTTTCCTTCCCCATCATGAGTCAAGATGGATGAACGAGACATAGATCTGTCAAGCTTTTCAAATCCTAGAGTTTCACCGTCCATGTTCTATCTGAAGCTAAAGCAGGAGATAGGTGTAGGAGACTCTTTTATTGTTCAGCCAGCACAGCAAAACAAAAACTCAGTGACCAATTATAATCATGGATTAGTCATAAAAATGGGTTTTGAGTGTCCCACACCTTTAAAGATATAATACTGTTTATTTACAATTGGAAATTGTTCTTTCAGCCTCTATATAGGATATGAACCTTTGTTGGGGCTAACAATGACCCCATAAATTAGACTTGCAATCAAAAGATTGCCCACTTGGCCAGGACATGAATGTCAAATGAGCTGTGTGCTGTTTGGGCAGTTCACTCTGATGACTCCATGATGCTGTCTGAAGCGCAGAGCTGGAGTGAGGACAAGTGGGGGACAACGTGACAAAGACCTCATGCTATGGAACTATCTGGCAGTAACTCATAGTCTGAACATTCCCATCTCATCCTGGAACGTGAGTGCTTCTACATTCTCCTTCATTGTTTTCCTCATGTCCAACAAGGATGTACAGCTCAGGCTAATGTTAGCAGTCGCTCGACCTAGCATTGTTCTGTGTATGGCAGCCTCGCCTCTTCCAGCTGTGGCTACAAGCTCATCGTCATCAGAGTGTGAATGTGTGTGTGAAGGGATGAATGACTGTGCCTTGAGGTTGTAGAACTCTAGAAGGTGCTATATCAAATACAGGCCATTTACCATCCTAACTGTTTTCTCGAAAACCAAATTTAATTTCAACTTGATTTTACAGACATCAGCCTACATGATGAATATTTTCTCTTCAATATTCATCAGAAACTATAGTTTCTGTTACACAACACTTACGGATTGATATTCCCCTTCTGCAACTTTGAGTTCACAAGAACAGAGTCGTGCGCAGGTCTCCGGAGGCCCTTCGGGATTCATTAAACTGCACGTGTCTCGTGATGAATGTCTTATATCATAAAGAACAGTAAGGCCAAACCAGGGTCTAAAGGGCCAGTGGAAGTGAGACAGAAACGAGCAAATCTTTTTTGGAGCCTCGGATGACACGTTCTGATTGAGCTGTTTGGACTGAACGGATGTCGAACTCTCCTCGGCAAAGACATAAATCTCATGTTCTTGTTCTTTGCCTATCGGGAAGTTCTTCTGTCACGAAGCAAAAATAATAAAAAAAAAAGGTTCTGAGGAAGATTTGGACCAGAGTGAAACGTGATGTACGGGTGTGACCCATTTCAAGTATAAGCTCATTCTATACTAGTGAGATCAATGCAGGGTGTGCACCCACAATGACTTCACACACAAACAAGGAATGTGTTCAAAACTATACTTTAGTTTGTATTTTATGTGTAGTGGATTACACATTCCAGGACACGAATGAAGAAGGAGTATGGCTTCATAAATCCATTCCAAAGACGATCTTTTAGTGTTTTGCCCAAGATTAGCTGCTTGCAGGAACACTAAAGCTCACCGTGACGGGAGAGACTCAACGCTGCCAGTACAAATCCGTCTCTGACTCCCACATGTAACAACACTCCTAAATGAACACGAATGAAATCAGTTATGTGATGAGATGCTTGCTGATAATGTCAAAAGTCGCACTTATTTTATCAACCAGCAGATCTTCAGTTCACAGTCTTTTTTTTTTTTTTTTTTTTTAAATAAAACACCTAGTCCAAAAGTCAGAATAAATCAGAAGCAGAAATTGGGCAGTGTTTTTGGGAAATTGTTTGAAAATGAACCTCAGTCAGAGGGAGTGAAGAGCAGGCAGTGAAACTGTGGATTTTTCACTGCATCATAAGCATCAGCAACACAACATTCTTCATTTACAATATCCATCCTAATGGACGGCAGAGGAGCGAAGCTTGACTTTTTTAATTCCTTTCCAGGAAGGTCGACTTTTCCTTAAGTCTCGCCGAAGGTCGAGGGTTATAAAATACCATCAGGGAAAGCTTTTATGGTGTCGTAAACTAAGAATGATGAGAAAATATTTCATGTCAAAGTTTGGTTTCGTGGATTCGGTTTTTTCTGTAACAGAGTCAAAGTGTGTGTGAGGGTGATGCTCTGAAGTAAAACACTTCCCACCAATCCACATGAACCTATTCTGTATGATTGCATATCATCATAGCTGGTATTGGTTTTTAACTGAGATGTAAAATGATAAACGGACCTCTGAATTGTCAGTATAAACAGTAGGAGCACTCGTGTCCCTGGAAGGAACAAGGGTTGCACCCAGTTGATGTCATAGCTCTGTGTGCTGATTTACTAAATAGCAGTCACAGCCAGATAGATAGATTACATCTGTTTCACATACTTGAGTTGGATTAATGTGATGGTTGAACGTCCAGACTGCTCAAGAGATTAGAATGACTCCTAATATAATTGTTTTGGCATATTGAGCAACAGTCGACTGAGCGTTGCATCATGTTATTGTGGTTAAACGGATCTAAACACTGACATTCCTTCAAATCTTCGTCAGGAGAGTAAAAAAAGAACATACAAGGAGACTAGGTAGACCGAGCGATGACGCGTTGCTTTATTTGAAAGTCTGACGCATTTGAATGTAGAAGATGAATAACTTGTACCTGGTTTTAATTCTGTTAAACCAACAACAGCATAACCAAATTCTTAAAGTCTTTGTTCCTATGGAAATCCCTGCCTGTGGGTTTTCGCTGCCTTAATGAAAGCTGCATGGTCTTTGCAGTGGGTCTGCTGTAATCACGCAGTCACGTTGGGGATGTGGTCCACAGCAGCACTGGTGTCACAAGACAAACGGGACCCGGTGCTGCACTGAAACAGTCTCAGTTTCCCATCCAGGGTTCCAGTTAACAGCTAAGAGAAGGAGAGAGAGAAAAATGAATGACATCACACTCAGCCTTTACTCGTGTGGATGAACTTTCCTAACACCCTCATTTTTATAACACGCCATTTAGAGGAGCAAGCTCCGTACTAACAGCAGACGTGTGTCCTTGAAAGTGATAAGTACTAAAACCGTTTCCCACTGAAGTTCTTGGTTTTTCATACCTGTCAAAAAAGTTGTTGCCTGGCTTGAAGTGTGCAGTATAACTTTAGTTAATTACATAGGTTAGTTAACTGTTCGTTAGGTTAGTTATTGGTCCTGCCCCAAGTGGAGGAGGTTAAGTACCTCGGGTCTTTTTCACAAATGATGGAGTGTGAAATCGTCAGGTGGTGACGAGAGAGCTGAGACAGAAGGCAAAGCTCTCGATTTAATGGTCGATCTACGTTCCAACCCTCACCTATGGTCACGAGCTTTGCGTAGTGACCGAACGAATGAGATTGTGGATACAAGTGGCCGAAATGAGTTTTCTCCACAGTGTGGCTGGGGTCTCCCTTAGAGATAGGCTGAGAAGCTTGATCGTCTGGGAAGGGTTCCGAGTAGATCCGCTGCTCCTTCACATCGAGAGGAGCCAGTTGAAGTGACTCAGGCATCTGGTAAGGATGCCTCCTGCACACCTCCCTGTTGAGATTTTCCAGGCACGTCCAAACAAGAGGAGACCTAAAGGAAGACCCAGGACACGGAGGGACTATGTCTCTCGGGTGGCCAGGGAACGCGGACTCCCCCAGAGGAGCTGGCCAAAGTGGCTGGGGAGAGGGAAGTCTGGGCCTCCCTGCTTAAGCTACTGCCACCGCGACTTGACTCAACATCCATCATCCTACTCTACATGAGGCTTGTTTCCACTATTGGAACTTCCGGGTACTTTTACCAGACCTTCACAGCATGAGTGTGTCTCCATTTCACCAGTACGGCCCAACAGCACAATTTTCTGGGCTGTTCCGGGAACCAACAGAGTACTTGAACTCTGCAATGGCTCAGTAGAGTCGCTGAGCAGGTTGTAGCTCTGTAGGAAACGATATCGGCAGACGTCGCCAAACAACCATCTTTTGTAAAATTGGAAGATCTGTTGGTCTGGCTGCTTTACAATGAATGCCAAAAAATTGGGCAGAAATTGCAGTAATTCATGGTGCTTTGTGGTCCCCTAGAGTGTCTTCTGGTCATTGATTGCTGCCACTCTCCATCAAATCAAATCAAAGAAAATGAAATCAAAGATACTTTATTAATCCCAGAGGGAAATTAGAGTTTCAGTACACACAATTCAGAGATCAGACATACATGGGCAAGACACATGACAAGAATTGGTGACTGTGGTCATTCGCAACCCTGAGCCGCGCTACCTTAATAGAAGTAAGAGGGTTACATGAGGATTGGTTCAGGTGGAGGGAAAAAAAGGCACTTAAGAGCTACCCTCCACCAGGAGGGCAGTTTTGCTCCTCGAATGGATGAAATTACAGCATATTTTGACAGAATAAAACCTTTAATGTCAATAATAGTGACTTTTAGCAAAGCTCTGAAAGACAACAGCTGAGAGGACCGTCGTATTTTCCCTGTCACCTTACCCACTCCCAGAAATTTCCCAGAACTCCTCTGTTGGAAGCGCGGCTATGAAGTGCAAGTTATTTCATAAGTCTCCATCAGCCAAAAAAGATGAAGAGGACAGGGAAGCATTACCTTCCACAGCCAACAAACGTCAAGAGCAATAGCAAACCTGCTAGTTAGGTTTAGTATAATAATCATATACATAGTTCAGTCAGAGCTCACAGAAGAGTCAGAGTCAAGAAATGTCCCAAATTTTTGCTTAATTTCCACAGTTTTAAATCATTCCAAGTTTAAAGTCAACCTTTAATGGGACGTTGTGGCTTAAATGGCTTCAAACATCTTTCAAAATCAAAAAGTAAATATGAATTTTTTTTTCAACAAACTGCAGCTTGGATCTAAATCTTTTATAGTGATATACTTTTGTTGTTAAAACTAAAACAAAAGGATCTTTGCAAAATACTGAATTGCCAAATAGCAATAAAAAACATTTGGATCAACAATAGTTCCACATTTTTTCCATGTACTAAAGCAATTTTATGCAGGAGATTTCTTTTTATTTTTTTATTATTTTTTTATTTTTACCAGCAGGCAGATGACTGTGCTGGGAAAGAGTCAGTCACACTAGTTAAGGTCTGAGTCAAGAATCATAAACTGGATTGGACAAAATCTCCGTTTGACTGGTAAAAGTATGCAGAGAAAATTTCCAAGTGAGAGCCTGTGGTAAATAAACTAACACCTCATTTCACCTTTTCATCTATATTTAAGAAACTCTTTATCTCCTCATGGTAAAACAATCAGTAACTGGACATTTGGATCCTGTCCACATAACTAATTTACTCTAATAAAGTGAAACCTAGAAAATAATGGAAACCAGAGACGTCAGTGGCAAAAGTCAGAATTTACTGGAAACTGACTTTAAGACTAAGCTCAATGAGGAACTCTTATTTATTTTTCATATATACAATCAGTCACTCTGAATTTCACATGCAGGCTGAACATGAAAATAGTCTTATATCGCTATTTCCTGCATCAACCGTCAACAGAAAATAGACGGGAAAACACTTGGGCTGGAAAAGCCTGTCTCTTCCACGATGGAAGGCTGTCAATGAATTAGTGTCCAGGAAAGAGAAGAGCGTGTCTCGGCTAGTAGAGGCTAATTGTTAAGCCTAGGGCACACCAGAGACAGATGTGCCGCGCCTACGCCGTAATTTTCCAAAGAAGCCATTATAGTTAATGAGAGTGGCTACAGGTGGAGCACCGCATCCCAGAAGTGCCGCGCCGAGGCGCTGAAGTTACGCACAGGTTCTAGTGCTGCCGCGGCAGTTTACAACATTGTGAAGTGCTTTACAACAGACATTATGACGCGGAACTGCTTTACGGCACAAACCCAGTAGCAGTTTTGATAACTTTAAAGTACTATTGATTTTAAAATATTCTAATAAATAGTGTACTTGCCCATTTTTAATGAATTAGAGTCTCACAAAACACGACGGAAAGTCTGATCACGTAAAGCAAAAGAGTCAATTTCTGCTTCCTGTTCTCAAGTCCCGCGTGATTTTGTGACTTTCCAAGAAGTGCTCAGCAGCGTGGCGCGTCCGGTGTGACCACTTGACTTTTTAAAACTGCAGCGATTCTTCAACTCCACCTCATGACAGACCTCCTACTGGCTTGTGTTATTTGTGGAGATAAAACATCAACGTTGCAAAGCAAACAGAGTCAGTGGTAGAGTTGCATTCCAGTTAGCCGATCAGAGGCGAGATGTCAAAATATCAGGAAATACAAATCCCAATCCTTAACTCTGACCTGACTTACTTCTAGTTCCTGAAAGAGGCGCACCGGAGCTTTAATACCCTGCAGAATACAACTTACAAGGCATTCATTACTACTCGAAATTATTACAAATGTATTTAAAATATGACTAAATTGATCTTTAAAGTGATATAGTCCTGGAATGGCTCATTCTGGAAGGTACTGAAAATATCATGCATTGAAGCTGCTAAAATAGCTTTATGTCAGACTGATTTTGTACAAAGAATTTCATGAACATGTTTTGAGTAGACCACTAAACTGCCAACCAAAAGTGAAATATCCAAATTTCAGGAAAAAGGGCTCCAAATCCATCGTTTTCTGCTCCCTTCTCCTCCAACTAACTTCTAATTCCTGAATCAGGAGTGCCAGAACTTTTTTCCCACAGAGATCGACTCACAAGGCATTCGTTTATACTAGAAACCACTGCCAGTTTGTTGAAAAAGTGAACTTGGTCTTTAATGTAAATGTCAAGCGTTCTTTAAAGACACATTATTAGGAAATCAGTTAGTTTTTGTTTAAAGACTTATCAGCGTTACAAGTTGGTTGAACTCTTACCCAAACACATTCTCCTCCTCAACCCAGTCTGAAATAAAACATTTGCTGTTCATTAACTTCAGACGCTATTAGTCATTCAAAGGAAAGAATGCTGAAAATCTTGGATCTATTTTATTTTATTGCATTTTCCCATATCAAAGTCTAATTTGAAACCTTTTAGGAATTCTAAGTGAAATCAGGTTGAGAGTTTGCAGGCTGTGCTTGTTACATAATCTGAGTTATTGTCAGCCATGATGGCTGAGAACTCCAGAGAGTCCATCATAAATCAATACTTCACTTATACATGCAGGAAGAATTAGATTTTTAAGGAGGACCTTTTCTCAAAATGTGGCATGCTGGATCGGAACATGTCCTAACTAATGGAAACACGATTAAGTACAAAAAAACCTTTAAAGCTTTAACGTATTTGCAATGGAAACAGAAAACTGTTTTTCCTCTTCATCCTTAATAAAGCTGAAGAAAATACTTGACTTTCTTGATATGCATTGAAAACACGGGAATCCTATTTTTTGTTGGTTATTATTATTACGTTCAAAGACATTATTAAATAAATGATAAACAAACTGTCAATTAAAAAATATGGAATCAATTAGACTTTAAACATTTGTTGCAACAGTGATTGACGGGAAACAAAACCTACAGGAATGCTGTCTGTGAAAAAAGTCCTTCAGGAAGGTAATTCAACACAGAAAGCAACAAAATAATGTATTTCTTGTTCCCAGACAGCTTCATCTAAAATTTGGAACAAGTACAAACAAAACTGGAAGGCCATCAAAGGAGGGGGGAAGGAACGCAGGTGGGCAGAGGGGCTTAATACATCAGGACAGACAACTGACAGCAATATGTACTGAAAATAGACATACTCTTGGTTTTTCCTCAAATGAAATGAAAACCAACTGTGAAGAATTGAGTATAACAAATGGATTACAGAAAACGGAATATAGTGAAGTCCTGTCTGAACCACTATTAAGAGGCTTTGTGATTTCAGCAAATTATGGATTTTAAAACTCAGATCTTAAAGCTGGAGCACATGGTTAAATCTTTTGGTAACTCTTTACAGTAAGGGTCCGTT